ATGTGACCCGGTACCCAGCGTTGTACTCCAGATTTTCGTGCTCCAATGGGGGCACATACAAAGTTGATACATGCGGGATATGTCTGAACTACTGCCCGCTATACATCTTCGTAACAATAGTCTGAACCTCGCTGGTACTGGACTCGTACTTATGAATGAAGCCACCCCGCTATATATATTCGTCACGTGCTAAAGATATTGTTAAGTTTCTCACGGTGCATCCAAAGCTTCCCTAAAGGCTGCTTCTGTATGACGGGACAAACAGCGGGGAGGTTGTCAAAATAAAAGCTTGCATGTTTTCTCTCTATTTGTTAATTCTTCTTGTTTGCCAGTCCTGCTGCGTTTTTGAAGGCGCTCAGTTTCCAGGCAATCCAGCAGTATGCATTGAACCGACAGTGGCAAACACTTCCGTGAACAATGTTCAAGATGCCATTATATAACGAGACCCGATTACAGCTTGAAGTATTAGCGGTCCAGGCCAGTAGGCGATATTGCATCTCCGCAATCAGGGCAATTCTGTTATTGTGTTATAGGATGCGCTTGTTGAAGATCCCTTATCTAGAATCCCACGGACTTACATACACTTATTTCTAAGTAGCCATAATTCACTGTAGAAATACCCCCGGTATGTTAGTGGCCCTTACTTTAGTACTGACATGAGAAAGGAACGAATATCTATGACTGAGGAAATGGTTCAGGAGGGATGACATGTTTGAACAGTCAATCTGGCATCTTATATGGAACGTGGGGTAGCTCGGACGAATCCCGACCCACAACCCTGTTTCGGACGAAGCCGCTGCAAACAGTCACAGTCTTGGTCCGAAGTGGTCAACCTTCATTTGTCTAGTACAAGATAGAGTTCTTTTCGTCCGACGATCACGTGTGGCGTCTATAATATAAATAACTCTCTTAGAAGAAACAGATTCACCAATTGCAACCGTTTACGCAGAGTTGAATCCTAACGATAAGAATGGGAACCCCAATTACCGTGGGCGTGATAGGTGCGACAGGTAATACAGGCCGGTCTGTGGTAGACGGTCTACTTTCCTCACCGATAAAGTTTGTATGACATCTGTTTCGCAACCTCAACGTTAGATGATCTTAACTAATGAGTCTGACAGGCTGTCACATCATTTACTCGACAAGCTTCAGTAGACAGCCAAGCCAACAACACCCTCAAAGCAAAAGGTGTCCATATTGTCGGCTACGACTTGGACGGTCCTCGGCAGGTTCTAGTAGAGCAGTTAAAAAGTATCGAAGTCCTCATCTCATGTATTACCTGGGAACATTTGGAATCTCAGGTTCCATGGATTGAGGCCGCCAAAGAAGCAGGTGTGAAGCGATTCGTGCCTTCGGAATGGGTGGGACCGGCACCCAGAGGGATTATTGACATCAAAGACAAGAAGCTCGACATCCTGGGCGTAATTCAACGGGTGGGTCTACCGTACACTCTCATCGACGTTGGATGTTGGTTTCAGGTCTGGGTCCCCAAGATTCCGTCTGGTCAGTCGGACCACGCCCATTCGATTTATATCGATCACCGGATCGTTGGTCATGGTAATCAGAAGTTTGGGTTGACGGATATGGGAGATATTGGCAAATATGTCGCGCAGATTATATCGGATGAGCGGACTTTGAATAGACGTGTGTTTACGTATACCGAAGTCCTGAGTATGAATGAGATTTGGGACACAATGGCAACGGTCAGCGGGGAGACACCCCTGAAAGAGATTGTAAGTAGATGAGCTTGATCTCGGATCGCCTGATCAGATTGCCCTGTGAGCGATGCGTTAACTTGAACCAACAGGTTTCAGAATCAGAGATCAAAGAGATCATCCAACGGTGCGGCAAGAGGTGGCAGGAGAATGGGGAGAAGGTCGATATCATGGACGTTGCCAATTACAATATGGGCCAATACCGCATATCATGGTGTATTCGAGGGGACAATACCCCAGAGTATGCGGACTATCTAGGATACTTGGAGTTCTGGAAGCTGTTCCCAGACTTTCCAAAGGGCAGGTCGTTGAAGGCGTACTATCAGCAGGTCCTCACTGAGGGCTCCAAATGAGTGATTTGTCCGTTGTAGTTATCTAAAGAGATCGAAGGTTTCACATGCCCTTTCATGTCTCGACACATTTCAAGGAGGCTAAATAAGATATACGAGAATCATCAGAAATCATATAGATAGGCATCGGTAAGCTCAATAAGTCTCTGTACTCCAGCCAGAGCAGTGACTGCGCTGATTGGGTGCTGCCGGACTACACTTCCCGATTAGGAAGGCCGACGGAGTAAGTTACCCCGAGCAGGTCGTCGAAGCCCAAAAAGGGCGGAATAACCCGCCGTGCAGATCTTCTGCTTTCGGCCGGGAAAAGTGGGAATGGCTTCTTCTCAGTGGCCACTGCCAACGTGACCTGCTGTGGTCCCTATCTAGCCTGTTTTCGATTATAAATCCACTCAACTTCAACGAACGCGTCTATTCTAGAATTTTTCCCACCTTATATTCGACTGGGCTCCGGGTCTTCGCCATACACAGCTCCCAACCGCTGCCAACACCAAAAAACATGGCGTTTATATACCAATATCGGGGCTTGCGACGATACGTGAACGAGCTGGTTGATGACGCCAGTCGTGCCCAGCACGAGTCATCATCTTCCTCTGATCACGCATCGCCGCAGCCTCTTGGACATCCACCGAGTAAGATCAGAGATCCCTCTCAAATCCCTGGAATTTTGTTGAAATCGGATTGTAACGGTGAAAAGTACTATGAGGTGTCTTGGGCAACCCACGATCCCTTCAACCCGCAGCAATGGTCGCATGCCCGCCGAGTCGCCTCCACCATGTGTGTCTGCCTGATCGCCTTGGTCACCACCATGGCATCAGCCATCGATTCCGCCGTTCTGACTGAAGCTTCACGGCACTTTGGAGTTTCCCAAGTCGCCGAATCACTCGCAACTGGCCTGTACCTCATTGGCTTCGGAGTCGGTGCGCTTATTGCCAGTCCCATGTCTGAAATCGTTGGCCGATTCCCCGTCTACATTGGCGCTTTGATTATCTTCGGATCCTGGATTCTCGGTGCTGCGTTAGCTCCGAATTTCGGGTCACAGTTGGTCTTCCGCTTCCTCGCGGGACTCTGTGGTTCTGCGCCTCTGACTGTTGCGGGTGGTTCGATTTCCGACGTGTGGAGTACGCTGGAGAAAACCTTCGGGTTCCCCATCTTTGCAATCCCCGGGTTTGGCGGGCCTATCCTTGGTGAGTATGATATAGTGTATCGCGCAACATCCACCACTGCGGACCACTGGACGTAGTAGGTGTCCAGTGAAACTAACACCATCGAATCAATTAGGACCCGTTGTTGGAGCATACATCGGTTACAGTCCCCACATCAGTTGGAGGTGGGCTGAATGGATCATGCTCATTTTTGATGGTCTGGTGATAGCCATCATCTTTCTCTTCAAGCGCGAGACCTTTGCACCTCAACTCCTGTACTACAAAGCCAAGTTCTTCCGCGAAGCGACCGGAGATGCGCGGTTCAAGACAGCCGGCGAGGCCTCGGGATCGGGAAGCCTGCTGCCTGTTTTGAAGAGGAACTTCACTCGTCCTTGGCTACTTCTCATGGAGCCAATCGTGATCTTCTTCACATTTTACTTGACAGTTGTCTACATTGTCCTGTTCACGTTCCTGGATGGGTATGCACCTTTCCACTAGTTTGCATTATGATCCATGGGATCCCACTAACTCGCCTAGATATGTCTTCATCTTCGCCGATACATACGGCATCAACGAAGGCCTGGCCAACATTTGCTTTTTGGGACTTTTCATTGGGATCCTCATCAGCATGGTCCTCGTCCCTATCCTTTATCGCAAAACAGCCAAACAGTTGCGAGACGCTGGTGATGACGGCTCCGGTCGCATGATAGACAGAGAGTCGCGTCTCTTCTTCGCGCAAATCGGAGCCCCAGCCATTCCGATCGGTCTTTTCTGGATGGGATGGACTGACTATGTATGTCTCATATAGTGACCCTTCACATCAACAAACATTATAGACACAGAATACTAACAACACTAGCCTTCCATCGCTATTTGGTCTCCCTTAGCCGCCTCGATCGCCGTCGGTTTCGGTGTCATCTGTATCTTCCTCTCAGCCTACATGTATATTATCGACTCCTATCAGCAGTACGCGGCGTCTGCACTGACCTTCGTGGCACTGGTTCGGTACCTGGCTGCAGGCGGAATGACGGTGGTCGGAATCCCGATGTATTCGAATCTTGGCACTCATTGGACGCTCACTGTTCTTGGGATCATCAGTGCGGTGGCGGCGCCCATTCCCTACGTACTGACCTTCTGGGGCCCTTCTCTGCGGAAGAGGAGTAAGTGGGCCACAGCTATTTCGGCATGAGTGGATTCAACTTGTCTTCGAAGACTTCATCTATTGCTGTTCAAGCATGGGTGGTATGCCTTGAATATGGGTTCTAACTCTTCTCGCGAACATACATATTACTTTGGTGTTATAAATACGATGAGGATGAGCATGAGTGGTATGGAGATATTAGGTTGGGCAGAATGATAGAAGATAAATAGACTAGATTGGTGGTATAGAATGAATAAATTGGAAAACGCGATGTATCCAAGACCCCGACCGTAACCCGATATCAGCTGCCTAAGGCATGAAGTAGATAGCAAAGACGCCACGTCAAATCCTGTTGCGCAATCAGGTCTACATAAATAATATTGTACTAGGTATGCCAGACTTTTTACCACATGCTCAACAGAAGCAGATAAGCAGCTACAATCGAGTTTGAGAACACTTCGGCCTCGGTGCACCCACGGAGATAAAGATCGGGCGCGGGGACGGGGACGGCAAATTAGCTCGGGGACGGTCCACCGATCTACCGAGCTTCCTCGTATATAAGACTGTGATGACGCGCATCATGAGACCAGAGAGACATCGGAGCTTATTAGCTATTTTTCGCTTATTCTTGTATTCTCAGAAGGTCTGAAAAATGAGCATTCCCGATATTATTAAGTCAATCAACGCTGTCACCGCCAGTGGCGAGCTGAACAGTATAGATGAGCAGCAGCGTGCGGAGCTGTCGTCTGCATGCGATAGACTGAAGGCGATGTGCGAATCGCCGCTTGAGAAGACGTTCAAGCTTTTGTTTACGGTATGCTTTCCTGGATTGCTCTACAACTATGGATACTAATAAGAGAACAGGAACACCAAACCATGGTTCTCCGTCTAGCCATCGACCTTAAGCTCTTCGACGCAGTCATCCACCACTCATCTCAGAATGAGACCGGCAAAGTCACTGTGGCCCAGATAGCTACTGACACGAAAGCAGACCCAGTACTCGTCGGTATGAACGAATACCACCCTCAGCACACCCACCTTCTAACAAAACATGCAGCCCGAATCATGCGCTTCCTCTCTGCCATAGGAACCCTTGAACAACACACATCCGACACCTTCACACCTACTCCTCTCTCCTCATCCTACATATCAACCTCTCCACTCGCAGCAGCAATCATCCACTTGTACATGCTCCCCTCCCCCTCCCCTCCCCAACAATCTTGATACCCACTAACACCCCACAGCACGCATTTCCACTCCTTCCTCACCCACCTGCCAGACTACTTCGCCAAAAACAACTGGACCAACCCCAACTCCCTAACCAACACGCCCTTTCAATTCGCCGCCAAAACCTCCGCCCACTACTTCGACTACCTGGCCACAAAACCCTACTACCAGTCTTCCTTCAACACAGTCATGAAATCTCCCATCCGTCGAGCCGGACAACCATGGTTCAATCTGTTCCCTGTCACCGAGAAACTCCAGATGGAATCCCCGGATCCAGATTCAGTACTATTGGTAGATATCGGCGGCGGCCAAGGCCAAGACCTTCTCGCATTCCGCTCTGCGTTTCCTGATCTCTCTGGACGACTAATTCTTCAGGATCTGCCGCACGTTGTCGCTGATGCGGAGATACCTGATGGTATGATAGAGAGCCAAGGTTATGATTTCTTCACCGAGCAGCCTGTGAAGGGAGCGAGGGGGTATATGCTCCGCACTGTGTTGCACGACTGGCCTGACAATGAGGTGGTGAAGATTCTCAGTAGGGTACGGGAGGCCATGAGTGAGGAGTCGGTGTTGTTGATCGTGGAGAAGGTCATTCCGGAGACAGGCGGCGGGTTAATGGCTGCTATCGGGGATCTAAGTATGATGGTGACTTTCGCTGGCGCGGAGAGGACGGAGAGGCAATATGCGGAGTTACTTGTCAGGGCGGGGTTGAGACTGGTGAAGTCTTGGGTGGGGAGTGAGAATGAGGGGATGGAGATGGGCGTGGTGGAGGCGAGGATATAATCTTCTACTACTTAGGTTACAATGCGTCTGCATGATATTAGCTGTACGTTTTACGTTTTATTCATCTCAGGTTATATTTAGTATATTCTATACGCTTCGCTGATGCAAATATCATATGATCAACCCGTAAATCAACACCCTAGAGACGCTGAATCACTGCCCATCAATCATCTTCGACGCCCTCCTCAACGCCGGCCCATATCTGACAAACAAAAACGGCACGGGCAACAACACTGCCGCCACAGCGCCGATAATCGATATCGCCGGCCCAATCCCAAGGGCCCTGATCATCGGCTTCGCCGCTAACGGCAACCCCGCCGCCATGATACTTCTCAGGAAGGTAACAGCAGCAGTGGAACTAGCCGCATATATGCGATACACGTCGATGAGGAAATTCAAACATTGCTGGAAAATGCAATTAAACCCTGCTCCGATGCAGAATGCCGCCAGACATGGTAAGATCCAGTGGTAAGCGGGCGTAGCCGTCCACGCGAACCAGAATAATCCAAGGACGAGGACAACGCCTCCGAGCATCATGGGGGGTAAGCGGGCCTCTGGGACGGGTGCACCGTTCGCGGCTGCAGAGATGCGGTTATAGCGGAACTGGTTGTAGATGTTGACTCCGGTGGAGAGGATAACACCGATGAGGAGGGCGAGGAAGGGGAGAGCACCGACGACGGGAGACCAGCCGCGGAGTTCTTCGAATGCGATAGGGAAGACTTCAAGTGTGAGGTACATGACAGCGTAGACAAAGGCCGCGTAGAAAGCGATGCATGTGACGATAGGTTCAGTGCAGAGCATGCGCAGCGGGCGAGCGAGCTGTTTCGTGACGATAGATTGAACGGAGAGGTGCAGGTGTTCATGGGGATGCCAATATCGGCTGTCGTTGGTTGATTTGCGGAGGCTTTGCGCTTTGCGTTTCAGCAGCACAAGCGGGTAGAGTTCCGGGAGGAAAAAGAAGGCCATGAGGAAGGTCGCGAAGACCCAGATCGCGTGGATGTATGCGGTCCAGCGCCAGCCGAGTTTGGAGTTGGCCATGATGGCTGCGCCGATGATGGGACCCAGATCTGGACCGCCGTTTACGGCGATTGCGTAGATGCTCACTGCTGTGCCGCGCGTTTCTTTACTCCACATGTCGCCCAGCGCGGCGGTGACGTTGCTGATGGGCGCGGAGCCAAAGAAGCCGGCGAAGAAGCGCGTGAGGAAGATGGCTGGGGCATTGCGACTGTTCGCAGTGCCAATGTCGAAGATCGCCAGGCAGAATATGGCGGGGAGCATGCTGATACGCCGACCCCAGACTTCGGAGACGGGGGCCCAGATGATGGGGCCGAGGACGAAGCCGAGACTGGGATTGGTTAGTGGCTGATTGATTGGTTGGGAGTATTGCTACGGGGACACTCACATGTACAGGGACACATCGAGAACAGCGACTTCGCTGCTCACGCCAATATACTCGGCGATGGTGTCATCGGCAGAGGTAGTGATGCTGGAGCCCAAACTGCCGGCCAGGGCGAGCATACCCAGTTGTACTGTCACCCACCATTTGTAGCGCACTGGCCAATTTTGCGGATTTAAAGGATCATCCAGGTCCCATTTCACCTGGTATTCGGGGTCGCGCGAGGGAGACGCTTTTTCCAGGTCCGATGGCTGGTCATGGGCGGATTTGGGCCATATGCGGACCATTGTTGCATGGAGAGTGGTGTGCGAAAAATAAGAAAGATCGTCCAGGCGAGGTCGGAGACATTTATGGTGCAAATGGATTATTGCCGGCCCCGAGGCCCTCGCTGAATTCGGAATGGTGTGCAGATGGTGCTTATGCAGATCCTTTGATAACCCCGATCCTGGCTGGCCTTCGGAGGGCTCCGCGGGGAATACAGGTGGGTGATTGATGCGGTGGTATGCTTTGGAAGATGTCTATAGATGTGGTGAATAGAAGAACATGGTATAAGTCTTGTTATAGCCATTAATACAATTGTTTGTCTGAACAAAAGTAGGTCGATTTCAGGGCAGTATTCAGCTCTGGTCGGCTAAGCGGAAAGCTCCGCCGGCCGCTACTCCGATAAGCGGGGATGCCCGCATTCTCAAGGATTCAGTACAGGGCTGGAGATAACATATGCCGGTGGTCAGATTAAAATGCCGAGAAACAGTCTGAGCATTACTGGTGATATGAAGAAGGCACGAAGGATCATAGTGCCTGAGTGGTAGGCATCGCGCCGTCTGAGCCATCTCGGCTAAGTCGAGCTAAGGGTGCAACTTTTTCTGGCTAAAGTAGCGCAGAACGCACGGTCGCAGTAGAAAAGGCTGATCCGTCTCCAGATGCAAGTAGTGGAGCAGATATCTGAAGCAAATCTCTTTATGCGATGCCATTTGTATGTGGAAGAACATTCTGGACGCCGTTCGACAGCAGTGGGTCAGTTCCTTGCACACCAGGGTCTGATGGGTTGGCGAAAGCTTGTTTCTCCCCTGTCGGCTGTGCGGCGCTGTTCTCGTCGCTTACCCTTCTGTGGAGTGATGTCCGATCTGGTTTGGTAGGTCTGCGGTCGGCATTATATGGACTCATAGAACATCTATCATCACAAAGTTATTCTCTTCATTAGCCTGTAGCACTTCATTGATTTAGCTCCGAAGGCATCGGACGTCCGACGGCAGCGGCCCCGCACCACGCGGTTAGCTTCCGCCATGGTCTTCTCTTCTTCATCTTCTTGCCCGAAACCCCGAATGAAATCCCGACCGTAGATCTCACTTCTTTCCCTGTCTATTTGCAGCAGATCACCATGAGTGAAACAACCACAAGTACTGCAAGACCCTCGCAGGATGGCGTCAACCGCCAGTTTAGCTGGTATGAGCCCGAGTTGGCTGAGGTCAAGGAGCCTGCGCGTACCATTCTTGCCGAATACAGCAAGATCCCGGAGGAGAAGATCATTGGTCATGTCAAAGAAGTGGTAAGTGTATACCCTTAACCTGGTCAAATGTATACTAAATACGACTTTATACAAAAGAGAGATCGCGCCTTCGCAGTCGTAAGTCTACACTCCCCCATATTGGGTACTATCATTACTGATCAGATAAGTTTCCCTATCCATGTATCGGATCCTTCCGGTTCCTTGATATCACCATCTGCAATTCCTCCGCGTATCCCGAGATCCTCTCCCGCTTGAAGGACACCTCGGACGTTTACCTGGATCTGGGATGCGCCATGGGCCAGGACATCAGACACCTTGTACTCCCCCCGTAGCCCACAAATTCCTAGGACATCTACTGATCTAAGCAGGTCCACCAAGGAGCACCGCAATCTCAAATCTACGGCTCAGACCTGCACCCCCAGTTCATCGAACTAGGATACGAACTCTTCGCGGACCGCGACACCCTAGCATGCCAATTCATCACCGGCGACATCTTCGACAGCAGTGAACTATTCAACCGACTTAGCGGGAAGGTAGACATGATCAACGCGGCCTCATTCTTCCACCTCTTTGACTGGGATACCCAGGTCAAACTGGCAAAGCAGGTCATTAAGCTGCTAAAGCCGAAGGCCGGTTCTATGGTGGTTGGTCGCCATGTAGGGGATTATAATTCACGGGAGGTGTGGGCGAATGAGTTGAAGTCGACGATTTGGAGACACAACTTGGATTCGTGGAGGAGGTTGTGGGAGCAGGTCGGGAGGGAGACGGAGACGGAGTGGAGTGTTGATGTTACGGGCGAGGAGTGGAAGGGGATTACGAAGGTGGCGCATAATGGGGAGACGACTTTTAAGATGCAGTTTGTTGTGAGGAGGGTATAGGTTTAGATTCGCGTATTGAGTGAGTGGTTTGGGGTTGTTGATGATGTTGGTCAAAGTGGAGTCCATACGTGATCTTCACTTCATGTTCATTCAACAATCTATATACAACCGTGCAAATTTTACTCCGACTCCTCAACAAAGCTCAATCAAACACAGACACTCTCAGGATGCCTCAATAACCCCACTATCTTCTCTACAAGCAAACCCATCAACTCCTCCGCAACCTCCTCACCCAGCACCAACGTCGAGGACATGATCTTCACCTCCAACATACCCGGTCTCTTCTCATCAACAGACGAATAGACCCAAACCTCTTTCGGCAGATGATCTACTGCCCTGACATCTACCCCACACTTCACCTCTCCGAGCGACAACTCCATATCTTCAACCATCACGTTATTCTGATGCTGCACGATTGTTTGTAACCCTTTACGCCCGGCCTGGGAGTCCTTGGCATACGCCAGCGCGTCATCAAGATCCACCGTCTCGTACGACATAGCAGAGCGGTGTTGGTCTTGCAATGTTTGCATTAACTCCAATCCCGTAGTCTCAAGACCCAGGCGTGCGACAACGGGCGTAATATTGGCACAGGGACCGACAATTCCCTCGACCCCAGGAAGGGCAATGGCCCGACCGTGAACGACCTGGCCGAATATCACGGCAAGAGCATTGGTCTTCTGGGCTAGGGCCAGGGACCAGGCTGCTTTGACCATTGTGGCTATGGTAATGTCGCTGGGAAGTGAGGGGAAAACAGCGATGTCAATGTCGCGGGAAAGTGTAATCGGAGTCCCATTGCTGGCCGAGGACTCGGCTGGCTGGAGGTTAAGGTAGGTGAGCGGGACATCTCGGAGGAGATGACGCCAAAATGTGGTTGCTGTGGGATCGGCTCTCTGAGCTTGCTGGCAGGTAATGTAGTCGTTGAATCGAGGGAAGTGGGATGAAGGTAAGGGATGAGTATCGTTTGCGTATGCATGGCTCAGATCACTCATGAGGAGGGAAAGTGAGACAGCATCGTATTGGGCGTGAGAAAGTCGCATGACTAGTTTATGGCCGGCTTTGTCTTGGGTTGCTAGAATGACGCGCAAGTACGGCACTCCTGGAGCCATCTGGGCATCTACATCTCGGCGGCAAAATTCTTCCACGGTGGCGGTGGACAGGTCGGCATTGGTTATGGCCACTGCCGTGCGGAGGATAACTTGCAGGGTAGTGGTTTCATAAGGCACAAATGAGACTCGGAGAATTGGGTGAGCCTCCACGACACGATGCATGGCCCTAAGAAGACGGGCCGGGTCGATCGGGCCTGGTATGTCGACGACAATGTAGCTCTTCAGTTGTGCGTCTAGCCAGTGGCGCTGGAAGGAGGTTGTGGGAAGGACGTCGACTACGTCAGTCTTGTTGAGGGAGTTAGTTGCAAATATTTTGTTTATTTGGTCGCAATCATAACGTAGGCTGCCTCGTGATGCGGTTGATGCTCGCTGGGTATCTTCGATCAGACTTCTCGCCTGGTCAGAAAGGTCACCCAGACAGGGAGAGTCAAAGATCGCTCGAAGGGAGAGGGTAAGCCCTTGTTGACGACCCTCGGCAACCAGCCGCATTGCTTGCACGGAGTCACCTCCCAGATAGAAAAAGCTGTCATCCATGCCGATCTCAGTAGGGTCCCTTCCCAGAACAGTTGCAACCAATTCCTGCATTTTGCGCTCCGCTGCTGTGGAAGGCATACGCTTCGTCGAGGCCGTGGCGCGGTATGCACTAAGCTCAGGGCTGGACAGAGCAAGTGCACATTTTCGGAGACGTTTCCGATCGGCTTTACCAGTGACTGATAGAGGAAGCCGATGCAAAGGGAGGAACACTGCTGGGACCATGTAGTGCGGGAGTCGTTCGTGCATCTTGTTCTGCGCTGCCAGAGCGTCTGCTCGGAAGGCTTCGGAGGAAGGAAGCAGGAGGGTATCGTTTGTGTCAGTCGTTTCATTCGCTGCATCTGATTGATGTACGAATGCAACGATATATGGCTGCTGAGGCTGTTCAGGGGTAATCAAATCGACGATGACCGTGCTGGCACTCGAAAAAGCAAACTGAGCATGATATTCAATTTCACCGAGCTCGATGCGCTGCCCATGGAACTTGATCTGGTTATCCTTGCGTCCTACGAAGCGAATGGTGCCCGTAGATGTGTCGAAGCGAACCAAGTCACCGGTTCGGTAGAGTCTGGTAGGCGATTTTCGGAGCTGTGACAGCCAGCGTGGAGCATCTGGGAAGGCATCGTTGGTTTTCTCAGGATCCCCGAGATAACCCTGGCTCACGTTGGGCCCCTCAATCAAAAGCTCGCCTGTGGCTCCAAGAGGCACCAGCGTCTGATAATTTCGCGTGTCGACAATCCAAAGGGAGCTACCGGTCGGTGTGCCAATATCCTTACCATCCCTGGGGAAGGTGGAGGGGGAGGTGGTGCTAGCGAGGATGGTAGTTTCGGTTGGGCCATAGGCACACACCACCTGGACGTGTCCCCGCCACATCTCTAAATCCGAGGCCGCTATTGGCTCGCCTCCGAGGACTAAGTTACAAAGACTGGGAAGTGTCTCTGGCTTCAAGATCCTTGCAACGGAAGGAGTCAGAAACGCCCAAGTGACGCCCATCCGCTCGATACATCCCGTCAGGTCTTCCTTGTTCTCCGACTCGGACGGGATGATCAGACAAGCACCTGCCAACAGCGCACCTAGTATTTCCCAGAGACACCCATCGAACGCATGGGATGCAAACTGTAGCACCCGGCTGTCGGAAGTCATATTGACAGACGTTGTGATGATCGACGCATTACTGCACAAATTCTGATGGGTGACCATAACCCCCTTGGGATTTCCTGTGGAACCTGAGGTGAAGATGAGATATGCGAGAGCTTCTCTCGCTGGTGGTATACCGACAGCCGGTAAGGAGACTGGTCTTTCCTCGGCCAAGGACGTGATGTTGTCGAGCACGACTAAGATAGGAGCCAAGTTAGCCGCTGGAACGGCATGCGATGCTGGTGCAATAAGCATAGGTGCCTTGATCTGATTGCATATCACACGCAGTCGAGCCATTGGATGCGAGATTTCCAGAAGCGTGAAGGCAGCCCCAGCCTTTAGAACGCCTAGAATGGCGATGACCATCCATCGGGATTTGGGCGAGTAGATTGGGATGATGTCCTCGGAGGTAACCCCCATCCTAATAAGCCGTGCTGCCAGACGTGAAGACAGGTCGTCGACTTCAGCGTAGGTGAACATGCCGTCCCAGGCACAAACGGCTTGTCGGGAATTGTGGATACGGCACTGGCCTTGTATCTTCTCATGGATGTATTCATGGGTTGGGGCAAGCATGCCAGCGTTCCATTTCACAAGATGCTCTTTACACTTGGGGCTGATGACCTCGAGCTCACAAAATCGTTGGGTGGGGTCCCTCAGGATTTCATCCAGTACATGAAAGGCCGTTCGCAGTAGTGCGTCGGCCTGCTCCGCGGACAGAGATACGGTTTGGTAGCTGCATACCAGCTGAATAGTGGATTTGTCAACACCGATATTGAGGGCTACATCGTACTGTATTAAATGTTAACATCAGACAATATAGGGGGCTTCGTAGACCAAGTTTGGGGACAAACCTCTGAGACATCATTTGCAGGTAGCGTTTCGAGCTGGGTTCTTTGCTCGTCTGGAGCGTCGAAGTGAGATGTATCTTGCAACGATACGATAGTGTTGAACAGCTGAGATCCGACCAGTCCCAAAGACGCATACACGTCTGCCAACGCATAATGTTGATGTTGGAGGCTATTAGTGAGGTGGGCTTGATGGGTGAGGAGTGCATTCAAGATTGTCTCGTCCTCTTGATGCCGGACGGTCGTGGCAAGAACATTGACTAAAGGGCCGACCATCGTCTCAACCCGGTGGACAGGCACATCTCGGCCAAGAGCTGTATAGCCGAAGCAAACCTCATCAGTGCCTACATAAGCGCCGAGCACGATGGCCCAGACAATGTGGAATAGATTTGTCAATGTGATAGCGTGCTTATGGCATAGCTCGTCCATCCGAGCATCGCGGGACCAGGTGGCACGAATGGCAGAGATCGTAGCTTCCGGATTGACCTTGCCTGGCGAAGAAGTCAGTTTCGGAAATAGACATGGTTCCACCCCATCAAGATATCTTTGCCAATATGCCTGCGCCTCGCTATTGTCTTGCAGAGTAAGCCATTCAATGTATTCCACGTATTGTGGTAGATTTTGATGCTGTCCCAGCGAACCTTCCAACGCTTGATTGACCTCCCGTTGAATGACAGCTATCGACATGGCATCGACTAACGCATGACTGACATTCCACTCGCAGATTATGGCGCCAGTCGAGTCGCTGGTGATGTTGATCGTGTGAGGTAGGCCCTCGGTGGGATAGGCGTCCATCGCATCACCTCGAACCAGGTGCTGAAGGCTACCAGGGACCATGACTACCTGGTCAAAGTGGCTGTGATCTGAAACTGGGAGAAGAAGAGTACGGAGAATGTCATGTCGATTAATCACTTCTGTCCAAGCATCTTTCACCTTTTCCAATGAAAGTTGGTCTGTTGGCCCGCGAGACATAACCTGAAACTTGAATCGTTGCTGATATGCCTGCCGATCGCGCAGCTGCGCCAACAACATGCCCCGTTGCACGGGAGAGCAAGGGTAGATATTCCAGACATCTTGGGCACGTAGACCCATCGAAGGCAACGTATGATTGAGGCACTGGCTCAGTTGGTCGTAAGTGAGCGCAGACATAAGGGGAAAGTTGGTCAACGTCTTGCGGGGTCCTTCCGCTGACAGTGAACTAGCCGCGGCGACGAGAGTATGCTCACACTCCTTAATACACTGTTCCAGTCGAGCATCCTGCTGTATCAATTGCGGGAATGTAAACTCGAAGGTTAGGCACCCGTTCGCAGTGAACGCGGTAACGTCGATCAACGAAAAGCGTGGCACGTTACCGGCAATGTCTGAAGCACCGGTGCCGGAC